GTTAACGAATAGAAATTTGGTATCAGATATTACTGTAGGTGAACGTTTAGGATCCAGTGATCATCAGTCAGTGTGGTTTAATATAAGAACAGTGACTGAGTCACACCACACAAAACAAAAGTTTTAGACTTAAAAAAAAACATACTTTTCTAAAATTAGAATATGTGTAAAGGAGTCATTATCAGACTGGAGCAATTTAAATGGAGTCCAAGAGAAATTGGATTATTTAAAAGTTGAACTGCTGAAGGCAACAGAAAATTGCATTAGGATTTTCAGTAAAAGCAAAAAAAAAAAATAATTAAGGAACCACTGTGGTACTCAAAATAGTAAAAAAAAAAAGCTAGCATATAGTAATTATTAAAAAAAAAACAGAGTGAGAAAGATAGACAGATCTGTAAGATTAGGCAGAAAAAGGCTAAGCAAGTTATAAGAGATTCAAAATCACACACACAAGAAAAAATAGCACAGTCAGTAAAAAATGGGACAAAACATTTTTTAGATACATAAATGAGAAAAGTAAAGTAAAACAAGGATTAGTTAGATTAAAAACAAAATAAGAATAGGATGTAGAAGAGGATAAAAGTCTAGCTGAGTGCCTCAATGAATATTTTTGTTCAGTATTTATAGATGAAAATGAAGGAAATGGACCTCGGTTAGGACAAAGGACAAATGAGTCATTCGTTACATGTGAGTTTACAGAGGAAGAGGTTCTATTTCAACTGTCAAAAAGTAAAGACAAATAGGTCAATGGGGCCTGATGGAATACACCCAAAGTTATTAAAAGAGCTTAGTGGTGCACTAGCAAAACCATTAACAGATTTATTTAACCAATCATTGTTAACAGGAGTTGTCCCAGAAGATTGGAAGTTAGCAAAAGTTGTGCCCATTCACAAGAAAGGTAGTAGGGAGGAATCGGGCAAATATAGGTCAGTAAGCCTTACTTCAGTAGTGGGGAAAGTAATGGAAACCGTGTTAATGGATAGGATTGTTGAACATCTAAAATCACATGGATTTCAAGATCAGAGACAACATGGGTTTACTTCAGGGAGATCATACCAAACTAATCTTATTGATTTTTTTGATTGGGTTACTAAAATAATAGATCAGGGTGGTGCAGTAGACATTTCTTACCTAGATTTCAGTAAGGCTTTTGACACTGTTGCACATAGAAGGCTTATCAATAAAATGCAATCTTTAAGTTTGGATTCCAGTATTGTTGAATGGGTAAAGCAGTGGCTGAGTGACAGGTAACAGGTTTGTATTCAATGGAATATATTCGAAGCATGGTCTTCTCACTAGTGGGGTACCTCAGGGATCTGTACTTGGACCCATTCTCTTTAATATTTTTATTAGTGATAGTGCAGAAGGTCTTGATGGTAAGGTATGTCTTTTTGCTGATGATACTAAAATTTACAACAGGGTTGATGTTCCAGGAGGGATAAGCCAAATGGAAAATGATTTAGGTAAACTAGAAAAATGGTCAGAGTTGTAGCAGATGACATTTAATGTGGATAAATGCAAGAGAATGCATCTTGGACGTAAAAACCCAAGGGCAGAGTACAGAATATTTGATAGAGTCCTAACCTCAACATATGAGGAAAGGAATTTAGGGGTAATTATTTCAGATGACTTTAAGGTAGGCAGACAATGTAAAAGAGTAGGAAATGCTAGCAGAATGCTTGGTTGTAAAGGGAGAGGTATTAGCATAAGAAAGAGGGAAGTGCTCATGCCATTGTACAGAACACTGGTGAGACCTCACTTGGAGTATATGGTCACTTGGACCATATCTCCAAAAGGATATTGATACTTTAGAGAGAGTCCAGATAAGGGCTACTAAACTGGTTCATGGATTGCAGGATAAAACTTACCAGGAAAGGTTAAAGGATCTTAACATGTATAGCTTAGAGGAAAGACGAGGCAGGGGTATATGATAGAAACATTTAAATACATAAAGGGAATCAACACAGTAAAGGAGAAGACTAGATTTAAAAGAATAAAAACTACCACAACAAGAACACATAGTCTTAAATTAGAGGGGCAAAGGTTTAAAAATAATATCAGGAAATATTACTTTACTGAGAGGGTAGTGGATGCATGGAATAGCCTTCAAGCTGAAGTGGTAGAGGTTAACACAGTAAAGGAGTTTAAGCATGTGTGGGATAGGCATAAGGCTATCCTAACTATAAGATAAGGCCAGGGATTAATGAAAGTATTTAGAAAATTGGGCAGACTAGATGGTCCCAATAGTTCTTATCTGCCGTCACATTCTATGTTTCTTTGTTTATATGAATCTATTTTATTTTGTAGTCCCACTGTGTGTCTGAATGTCCGAAAACCACTGGGTGTGTTTGAATTACAAAATGTAATAAGTGCCATTTCTCGTAAACGGACATATTATCTACTGTGTTGCAGGGGTACCATCTGTACATCAATACCACTTCATTAAGAAAAGGTGATTTTGGTGCTTGGAGTATCTCTTTAAATGACCAATTATCCATGATGTGACAGAACACACACGCTATCAGAACCAGGCAGCCGAGTACAGAATCAGGTATCAAGTTATAATGCTCCTCAGTTTCAATGGTACATCTCAATTTTGAAATTGTCTTTGGACGCAACAATATAGCAAGAATCAATCACTGAGAACAGTAGCACAAATATCTAGGCTTGCTGTGCTCAATGCAAGGATGCAGTGAGACTCAGCACTGCTGGACTCTGGAAG